GTCGCAGCTTTGATCCCTGGTCAGGGCACACATCTGGGTTGCGAGTCTGGTCCCTGGTCGGGGCCCATATGGGAAAAAAACAGTCGATGTTTCTCTTTCACATGGATGCTACTCTCTCTCTCTAAAAATCAATGATTATATCCTTGGGTGAGGATAAAAAAAATAAATAATACTAAAAATAAAAGAGAAAAAGGCAAAATAATGTCCCTACAGGCACACCAGAAAGATGCGTTCACCCTGGCTGGTGTAGCTCAGTGGATTGAGCACGGGCTGCAAACCAAAGCATCATAGGTTCGATTCCCAGGCAGGGCACATGCCTGGGTTGTAGGCCATGGCCCCCATCAACTGCACATTGATGTTTCTCTCTCTCTTTCTCCCTCCCTTCCCTCTCTAAAAATAAATAAATAAAATCTTTAAAAAAAAGAAAGATGCGTTCACATAATAAATGAAAATGGCAATCCAACATTTAATAATAAGATAAAAGAATCTAAGAAAACTATAGAACTATAAAAGTAAGAAGCAAAATAAATCAGAAATTGATTAAAACAGGAGAATTGAATAAATAATGTTTCAGAAATAAAGGGTAAATTAGGAAGGATATAAAACTGAATAAAAACAATGGATAATGCCTAAAGAAAAATATAAGATTGAGGGTTTGAAAAGTTTAAAATCAAAAAGACATTTAAAAAATCCAAGATAAAATAATAGCTATAAAGATGGACAAAGAGCATATAACCTTTATGTAATAGAAGTCTTTGAAAATGAAAGCTAAAGCAATGGAAAAGAAAATATTAGAAATAGTCATGCCATAAAATGCTTAATGACATAAAATATGTGAAATTATACAATTTAAAAAGCATACTGTGTAAATAAGAATATCAACCTAAAATAGCCAAGAATGGGTAAATTCTAGTAAAAATATTGGACTTTAAATAAAAAAAAATATTCCTTGGGCATTGAGACAAAGAGACCAAGTCATTTATCAGACAAAGAAAATCAGATTTTTATCACACTTTATAAAAATGCTTTAAAATAAAGACAATGGAGAAGTATATTAAAGATGCTCATGGAGAATTTTTTGAAGCAAGGATTTTTTTTTATCAAACCAAAATAAAAATGTAGATCTTCAGCCACAGAAAAATTGTGTTCACATGCAAGATCTCGGGAATACCGTACCCAGGAAAGCTTCTAGGGAACTCTATCGGAAGATTCGTTTCAGAGAACCAAAAGGATTCACAAGATACCAACATAAGGCTTCACAGTGGACAGTAACTACAAATTTTCTTATGGAGCAAAGAATAAATCATGGTTTTGAGAGAGACTTTAGTATATAATTACATATGAATGGGAGAGTATTGTCTTAACATTTATTGAGCTTAAAAGTGTCAATTCAAATTAGATAGTGAAAGAGGGAAGGTAGAAAAAGGAAGAAACTAATATCAATGTACCCCAGAATAGAGAAGCATTAGACAATAGTCAATTTATTAAGGTTAATAAATAAAAGACAAAAGTATTTTTTAAAGATTTTATTTATTTACTTTTAGAGTGGGGAAGGGAGGGAGAGAAACATCAATGTGCGGTTGCCTCTGGAGCGTCCCCCTACTGGGGACCTGACCCGCAACCCAAGCATATGCCCTGACTGGGAATTGAACTGGTGACCCTTTGTTTCCCAGGCCACTGCTCAATCCACTGAGCCACACTAGCCAGGGCAAGACAATAGTATTTTATAACAATATTAATATCAACATAGTCATCAAGAGGGAAGGAGAAAGAAAACCATAATAAATGTAATTATTTTTTTCTCCAGCAAATAGAGGCTATGTGAAGCCATCAACATGGTTTTCTAGGGGAAAAAAATCCCCACTCAACTATGTAAAGAAACCTAAAAATTAGGAACAGAATCCTGTAAAAGAAACTGAGAAAAGAAAGCCAAAAACACAAAAGAAGAATCAGAAAAATAAGATGTTACAAAAGCCACAGAATGAGATTTTTTTTTCTAGAAGTATTAGACAAGAGAGTCAAGTCCTGCAATAAATCGGGGTAAAGATGGATAAATGTCTCATGGATTGTGCATAGGGAGGCCACTAAGGACCTCCCTGAGAGTGGTTCCTAAGAAAGGTTAAGACAGAAATCAGACTGCAATGGATGGGAGAAGGAGAAGGAAACTTATTCTAAAGAAGTTTGACTGCAGGGTAACCTTGGGTTAGGAGAAAATGATTTGTTTGCTTGCTTTGCTTTAATTAACCGGAGGAACTGGAATATGTTGCAATGTTGATAAGAGTGAGGTAGAGGAGGGAGGGGAGCCAGATCTCAGGAGAAAAAGCAGTCTTCCTAGGAGGATGGCAACAGATACAAGATTCTTTAGAGATCTGGCACTGGGAAGACAGGGACATCCCCACCAGGAAGGGTATACTTCTCTCTGAGGTAGAGGGCAAGGCCATATCTAGGAATGACGGTCAAGATGGAAGAGCTATACCAGTGGTTCCTAACTGCAGGGTTATTTTGCCCTTATCCAGGCAACACTTAGCAACATCTGGAAACATTTTTAGTTGCTACAGCTAGGGGGTGGGGGTGATACTGGTATTCAGTGGGCAGAGCAGGGGTGCTCTGAAACAGTGTACTAAGCACAGGACAGGGCCTCACAACAGAGAACCATCTAACCCTGATGCCAAGAGTGCTGAGGGTAACAATCTCTGGGTTAGCATTCGAAGAGGTTTAAAATATTCACAGAGGAGATTGGGCAGCTGACTATGGAATCATGGTCGTTTTAAAACAGTCAGTGCGCACTAAAGAACAACAATCTGCATTGTTGTATAATTTTCCCCAACAGTATCAAGATTAAGTGAAAGTTTAGACAACTGAAAAGTTCTGACTAATATATGCATGGGAAGTTACCAAGTGGGTGCATTCTAAAGATAAGAGAATTGAAGATATCAATAAAAGATACATGATCCACCCTGGTCGGTGTGGCTTGGTTGGAGCATTATCCTATAATCAAAAGATTGCAGGTTCAATCCCCTGTCCGGGCACAACCAATCCCTGGTCCAGGTGCCTGCAGGAGGCAACTGATTGAAGCTTCTCTCTCACATTAATGTTGCTCTTTCTTCCTTCCTCTCTCTCTAAAAGCAATGAAAAGTGTCACTGGGTGAGTTTTAAAAACTGGGTGAGTTTTAAAAAATGAAATAAAACCCATGATCCATCCATTGAAGATTCCGATGGATCACGGAATCTAAGCTAGTTAAGGAACAGGATAAAACGAAAGGTAGCTGAAAGAAAGAAAAAAGATGAGGAGTCTGGGGCTTCCTAGAAATTTGAAATATGTGCCATAGGAATAATTTAGTAAAAGATATGAAATGATCAAATATGATGGTCAGAAGTTGCAAATAGACTTGGTATTTATTTTTCAATACAATGGAGATGACAACAAAACCCAGGCTGGACCCAATGGGGAACAGATGAAGTGCACTGAAAATGAAGGTCCCTGGAATGAGAAGGACAAGGACCTGAGAGGCCAGGGTGACGAATGGATCAGAGAAGGCCAGTGTGCATCCCTACGTCCCACGTCATTTTATCATTCAACACATACAGGAGAAGCAGAAAACAAATGTGGGCATTATAATAATCGTAACCAAAGGGCTCCTTGCAGGATCTAATACTAGAAAAACCAATCAAGGAATTTGTCACACAAATCCACCAGCTATGTGCTCAAGTTATAGAAAAACCCAGCTCTCTAAATTTTGGGTTGGTTGATAGCCAGAGTGCCAATAATATACTTTCAGGGCCCCATCTTACCAGTTTTGGTATTGATTAGATAAAGGAAGAATGAGATTATTCAAGAGTAAAGGACCATTTCTGAAACAAAAGGGTGCTCCAGTGGGCCAGGCAGTGGCAAGTTACCGACAGCTAAGTATTCTGCAAGGCACAGCAGTGAACTTGGGGCACGGAACTTACTTACAGGTTCTTAACAGGCAGACTTGACACAGAAAGTGGAGAACAGGTGCTAAAATCCCAACACTGGGGGGAAATGCCCAGAGAGTCACTGGGTAAAAGCAACACAGGAGATTGCAATACAACCTTTATGCCTAAGAGACAGCTAAGATGGCCATTATCTTCTTTTTGGCCCTGGGTTGTTGCTCTAAATGCTACAGGTAGAATTTGGGTAGAATTTGGACTGCCCGCCATCAAATTTCCCCACCTGAGGGAACTTCTTAAAAACCTGGATTCCAGAACTAATCCCAGACTATGGTTCATTAAATTTACATATTCCAGGAATCTACATTTCTAACAGTCTTCCATGTATCTAGTTCAGAGCTGAAGTTTGGGAACTAGTCATTGTCATACTGAGGTATGACAATACCTCAGCTCATCCTCAAAAGTTGAATTATCACAGTTCACATTCACTGAAAACTCACTGCAAGCCAGAGACATTTCTGAGCCATTTAAATATATTTATTTTATTCAGCAATTCCAACCAGTTTACCATGCAGATGTTATTGGCATTTTCAATTTGAGATAAGGAAATTGGGCCATGAAGCTGACATCTGGGCACAGACAGTCTTATAAGAAAGGCTGTCCTCTTTCCAATGGTGTCCTTGTAATAAAAGTAGCTAAATAAAATGAACTTTTTCTTTCTGCTTTTAACTACAACTTTATCACATATATTGTTAAAAAGTCATCACATGTTTATCATAAGCTCTGATTGGTGGTGATACATTTCAATGAAAATAGGGAAATTAAAACTTAATAAAGTCCATTTGGTAAGCAAAACATTTCAAACACACTGTTGTCATGAAAATCTACAATGGAAGTCCTTACTGGTAAAAGTTGCAAATAATTACTGTCGGCCTCGTCACACATTACCACTTCTTCCATTTCCTTAGACTGCTATTAGATGTGACTGACTTTGACTAGGAAGTTGATCAGTTCACCAAACAAGGGGAAGAGAAAAGAACATATGTTCACTTCTTCAATATTATCAAACTCGATATTTGAGTACTTACATTTAATTCATTTTTCAGCATTTCTTCAAGATGATGACCTACATGTTCTTCATCTTCTTTGGTATCCATAACTATGCAAATCTGTTGTGAAATTCTTTCTGAGATAAAAAAAAATTTAAAAAAGAAGTAAGTTCCAAACACAGTATGGAACAAAGCCCTAGTACACTGAAACTTATGCTTACCTACTGTTCATAGTTACTGAACAAGAATAGGAAGGTTTCAGCTTTGGGCCAAGTGGACCAACTTGGACTACACGCTCAGATGTCCTTGACCCTCTTAACCCCCAAGTCAATGAATCCATCTATTTTACACTTTGTGGGTAGCTAACTACATGTATAAACAATGGAAACAAAAGATAATAAGATACATTCGACAGGGAGTAACTGAAGATGAGAGCCCTTTGGCTCGCCAACTCAATCTTTCCCTGTTTATAAGGAGTCACAGAATCTGACACAACCAGCTCCCCGGCAGTGCCTCTCTCTAGGCTCTGCCTCTGTGTGCAGCTCACTGTGCCACCTGGTGTCCTGAGTGAGTATAGCGCTTTCCTTGGCTTCCTTCTAGATTCAATTGAACACAATTACGTTCCTATCCACTTAACTATTCCCACAACAAGTGAAAATGCTAAATGGATTTTCTTCAAATTTGAAAGGCTTACTGGACATGGTTTAAATACGTAAGCTATATGACACAGTGATAGCCACTTTGGGAACCCTGGATGCACTCTCCCCAAAGCTATGCAGTGCTCCTCTACAGTACATAGATCTGAAATACTAAGCAATGGTTAAGGAGATATTGAATGGTATTATGTCATGGATAAAGGGGAAAGTGTCATTTTAAATAGGAATCCCAAATGAAAGTCCACTTCTTACATGGGCAACTTTATATAGCGTGCCTTAAAAAAACATTGATCTGGCAAAAGTTAATGACTCTTCCAAGCAAGGCTGGGGAGGACAGACCATTTAAAATAATAACATCACCAGTTAATAGTACTCGTATTACTAACTACCTCCCACCTATTGAGAACATTATACAGGGGTGAGCAAAAGTAGGTTTACATAATACAAATAAATAATGCAATAATTAGAAAGTAATAACACAAGAATAAACTGTGTTTCCCATACTCACAACTGTAAACCTACTTTTACCTCCCTCTGTATTTTTTCTCTTTAGGACTCTGTTTACACACCTGCAAGCTTCCTACCAATTTTTAAATATCTGTCATTCTAAGTTACATGATTCTAATAAAATTATGACATAATTTTGAACATAAATGAATGGTCTAGATAGTAAGTGCTGTGCAGCATCGTTTTGCTAGAGATATAAACTAATTGACAATATCAGATAAATCTTCATAATAAAAATGATCTAGGAGCTCACTCTTGAAAGGTTAATAGGTTTTGCTTACAAACACAGGCAGGGGTTTTGAAAGCAATTAAGAGGGAAAGGTTAAAAAATACTTTTAATGCGCTGAGACAGGACAATGTGGGCATATGCTTCGTGTGACCAGAGACGAGATGAGTCCTCGAGAGCCAGGGGAGGGTGTGGTAGTGAGCTATGAAGCCGGACGCGCAGTGACAGCAGATCATGGAGGTAACACACTGTCTTAGACACTATGCTGTCCCAAAAGTTTTAGATCAGAAGGTAACAATCACACAAGCAATGGCTTGAAAACAGAGTTAATCTAAACTTATGCACTGTAAAATTACTAAATGTTTAGAGAAATTTGTACTTTATCATGTCCTAGTAAAAATTCAGATAGCTTTCAAATGCCTCTTATACATACACACACAAAAAATATGATTAATTTATTATATGGGAATATTAAAAAAGAAACTCCAAATTATGGGATTTAAAATTTTTTCCCACTACATGGACTTAGTAAAGACCCTACATTACAAGATTTTAATGAGGAATAAATTAGCCAGTATGTATACAGTTATGTAGAGTGACCAGTGCTAGTAGATCTCAGTAAATCAGAGTAATGCTTTTGTCATTATGGTTGCATACATTCAATAAGAATATAAAATAAGGTTCCTTTTGTCTATTCAAAACACAACCCATTTCTAACTTCAAACTGCCTCTTGTGGTCTTAATACTTCAAAGTTGGGTGAATAATCTTTACCAATTTGGTCCCATTAAGTCTTCTTTTCAAATTTCCAAGTTTCCCCAAATACACAATTGTTACGTGTAACATTGGAATACCTATCTTGAGTAATATACAATCCTATGTTTTCATCCCTGAATTCCTTTAAAACTAAAATGGATACCTTCTACTTAGGACCATTCATTTGTATCTCTGTTTGTCTATTACATCTAGGTTGAAGCATCCTATGTGACTTCTGTTAATAATCCCACAAACATACACTGACAATCTTAAGTGGGAATGTTAATATACTTAAGGTCTTCATCAAAAAAAAAAAAAAAGACAACAGCCACAATGACTATAGTTGAGCCATACATCTGGAAGGCCAAAATGAAAAAGAATGTAGTTATTGGAACAGGGTTCAAATAAACTGAACCTCTTTAATTCCATAGTTATTCTAGTATTGCCCAACTCAGAGAGAGAGAAAAAATATATATAACATTTAAAAATGTTTTTACATGAAGCACAAAACTCTTTCCAAACATAATACGATTAATCTTCATTGTTTCTCAAAGCAAAGTCTTTAACAACTTCCTTGAGGTTAATGATGAAATCAAAACAAAAATAGGAGGCTTTAGGATTAATCTGCTGTTCTATTAATATGGCATGTCTTAGAAATGTTTAGAGGTTAAAATAAAACAGAAGCACTGGGAAAACTATAAAATCATGTTACTTCCCAGAATCATAAAAACTCGAAGCAAGAATCTAGCCTTTGTTCTCACTCCTAAAAACACCTAAGCATAAATGAGAAAAATATTGGAATTAACATGAAATCATACCTTACCCGTCAACTTGATGACTACTATTAATCTCTGAGATTTAGTTTTCATACTACCTTCTAGCTTTTAAAAACCTTCCTAAAAGGAAACTTGTGTCACATGATGAAATATTTTGATAACTAAACCATTATAATACATTCCCCCCAAAATTATTTTTAACATGTACTCTCTGATTTAAACAGAATTAACTCTTCATTTGTTTATAGCTTCTGAGTATCTCATAGTTCAATGTGACTTAGCAGAGAGAAAATTCAAACTGGAACATGACTTGAAGTCTACAGGCTAGTATTAAAAGCCGTGAGCAAAGCCCTGGCTGGCATAGCTCAGTGGATTAAGCGCGGGCTGCCAACCAAAGTGTCACAGGTTCGATTCCCAGTCAGGGTGCATGCCTGGGTTGCAGGCCGCACATTGATGTTTCTCTCTCTCTCTCCCTCCCTCCCTTCCCTCTCTAAAAATAAATAAATAAAATCTTTAAAAAAAAAAGCTGTGAGCACTAGTTAATAAGCCCAGTTAATACCTTGTCCCTGTGAGTGCGAACTTGTACATGGTCAAGGTATCATGGACAATGGCAATGCAGTAGTTACCCCCTTATCTGCTGGCTATATGTTCCAGGACCTCCAGCAGATGCCTTAAACCAGATATACCAAACCCTGCATGTAATGTTGCTTCCTGTAAATCCACACCTATGATAAAGTTTCACTTATAAATTGGGCACAGTAAGAGATTAACAGCAACAACAGTAAAAAAAAGAACAACTATAACAAAATACTGTAATAAAATTCACATAAATGTGTTTTCTACTTTCTTCTGTCTTCATGGTTTCTGATGAGAAATCTACAGTCATTCAAATTATTGTTCTCCTACAAAAGAATACATCATTTTTCACTGCCTTCAAGATTTTTATTTTGCCTTCATTTTTCAGCAGTTTATGAAGTGACTGGTGTGGATTTCTTTGGGGTACCGTGTTGGAGCTACCTGCGCTTCTTGAGTCTGTAGATTTATGTCTTTAACCAAATTTGGGGCTTGATTTTTAATCTAGAATTTCTTAAAATATTTTTCTTTTTTTAAAAGATTTTATTTATTTATTTTTAGACAGAGGGGAAAGGAAGAAGAGAGAGAAACAATGTGTGGTTGCCTCTTGCGTGCCCCCTACTGGGGATATGGCCTGCAACCAAGGCATGTGCCCTGACTGGGAATCAAACAAGCAACCCTTTGGTTTGCAGGCCAACACTCAATCCACTGAGCCACACCAGTCAGGGAATACTTTTTCCTATACTGTACTATCTCCTCTCTTTCCAGAATTGAGATTAAATATTGCATTCCCACCTATACTCAGGACTATTTATTTTTCCCCCAATCTCTTTTCATTCTCTAGTTCAGACTAAAAAAATTCTGATGATATAATTAACTTTACTGGCACTTTCTCTGTCATCCATATTCTGTTTTTTATTTTGGTTATTGTAATTTTTTCCAGTTCTGAATTTCCATTTGGCTCTTCTTTATGTTCTCTATGCCTTTGCTGAGATTTCCTGTCTTTCATTTCAAAAGCATTCCCGTGATTGTATAACCACTATCCTATACACCTGAAACTAGTATTAAATAATATTGAATGTAAAGTACAATTGAAAAATATCTAATTTTTCTACAAGGATTCCCCCATATTTCTTGTAGCATTTTTTAAATCAGTGCTTTAAAGTATTTCTCAGATAATCCCAACACCTATGTCTTCCCAGCACGGGTATGTATTGATTGTTCTTTCCCCTGTGAGGTTAGGTTTTCCTGGTTCTTTGTGTGCCAAGTGATACTAGAGTACATCCTGTGTATTTGGGTAATATCCTCACTTACCACCATCTCTCCTGTCCATCCCATTTCTCTAATGCAACCCTTTTTAGCACTCCACAATGTGTTTTCATAAGTGTTTAATTCCAATGGTATTTTAACTGAAGTCCTTCATAAAAGTTTATGAATGAGACCAAAATTTAATGTGTACTATACTCATCTTTCAATAGTTCCTCTTGGTACTCATAAACTACGCTGGCTTCATCCAAAGGTTAAAAAAAATAGATACAGTTTGGGATCTTTTCATTTAACTTCACAAAATAGTGATATGTACAATTTCTAACTTACACAGCTTCCTCTTTGCTGCATGGCAGATACACTGACATATGAAAGAGAA